AGTGTATACGGTTGGTTCTTATAAATCATTGTACCCTAATTCTAAAGGAGCATTATAAATAGTTTGTTAGTAGAAGTTACATGATGTATTTTCCCTACACAACAATCTAAACAAAAGAAATTGTCATGTTTATTTGAAATGAAAATAGTACATTGTTGTTGAACAACCTTTAGGGCATGACTATTCAGAAGGACTAGCCTAGCGTGCCACATAACATGAGAGTTAGTCTTAGTGTTATTCAATACAAAAACATCAAAATTAGAAATTAAACATATTTCAAATTCACTTGGTGTAGCTCTTGAAGCTAAAATTAGGAAAAAAAAGTATAGATCAGGGCCCACATTTCCTTGAACCAACCCTTTATTGGTGACTTGAGATTTAACAAAGTAATGAGTATAATGAAATTTAAAATAATGACAAAATTATTTCTGACAAACTTACTGACACTTGTTAGAACTAAAAACACTTTAGGATTTTGGGGGAAAACAAAGAATAAGGAACTAGAAGAGTGTATAGGAAAACTTCAACCATTACCGATTAACATTTGATCAAGTCCTTCAAAAGGATTGATCTGTTGGATGTGTTGTTGTTATCCTACATTATATGATGCTCCAAAATCTATGAACCAATTTGTACGAGCAAAAGTAGGGTTTATATTGTTATCATAACACTATGATATTAAGGGTTTTTAGAAACAGGTTTGGAATTTCATTTCCATTGATTTGATATCCAAAATATGTTGGTGGTTACTTTTTTGAACATAGTGGTTTTGTGGCAGCATCGTAGTATTATAGGAATTATTATAGTCAATTTGATTGTTAAACTCTTGACAAGTATATTAATTGTTGCAAGTAGTAAGGATGACAAATAAATTCGTATCCGTGAGTAATACATAAACTTGCCCCAACTTTGATGAAAAATACTCGATTTGATTGGATACAGGTAATACTTGATTTTTTAAATCGAGTACAAGGATGATGATGAGTATATACATACTCATCCCATACTTGTACCCTTATCCATACCTGCTTTAAATTTTTAGAAACTTATTTTTTTATAGAATTGAATTAACATTTACGTATTTAATTCGTATTCTATTTTAAATTTATTTTAAATAAAACTTAATTCATGTAATTTTGTAATTATTACTTTATGTTAAAAAAATTATTTATTTTATATTTTTTTACAAAAAAAAATGTTTAATTAATTTTTAAGCAAGTACTGGACAAGTACGAATATACATAATACTCAACAAAATCAAGAATGAAGATGAAAATTTCATACTCGTTAAGTATAGGGATAGGAACAAGTATAAGGTATAGGAATGAGACTGGGATTGAGATATTGAAACTCGTATCTGTCCTGCCCTGTTGCATCCCTAGCAAGTAGTTAAATGGACAAATTTCAAGTATTAAATTCATAAAAATAAAAATAAAAATTGTGACAACTAATCAATCTAATTTAATGTTAATTAGGAAAAAAAGAAATAGTATTTGAAAAGGGCACAGAAAATTCAGGAACATAATTTTTAGGGTTTCAAGAATAAGAACATATTAAAAAGAACATTATTGAAAATTTATGATAAAGAATATCAAGGATTGACTTCATTAACCTTCCTCACACATAACATTTTCAATTATTATCCAATTTTAGTAATTATTTAATTAATTTAACAACCAACAAAAATATTTATCCTAAACCCTTAGACAAGAAATTATAGGTTCCTTAATAAAAATTTCAATTATTTAGTGAAGATAATTATGCAATTCGCATTAAGATCGAAGATCTAAAAGTTGGCTAATAATTCCTATCTTATTATTAGTAACAAGTGTTATTAGTGTTATTCTCTAGATAATAGTTTTAAAAGAGTTTCTCAACCTTGATCAATTCTTTGGACTCGTGTAAAAGGTGATCAAGCCAAAACAAACACTAAGAATAAAAGAACAATTACCTAAATAAAAAAACTTTAGTTGCATAAAAATTGGAAGATTTACATGGAGTTAGAGACAACTACATCAATCCCTAACAATAGGAACTTAGCCGCTTATGACTAAGAAATTCGCACAAAGATACAAAAGAAGATCATTGAGAGATTAATTCATGATTATAAAGGCTCTCACTCTCACTCTCTCTAATCTCTCTAAATTAAGCTAAATGTGAAGTACCTATTTGTATGCTCAAGCCCTAGTTTAATATTTAATGGGTTTTCTTTTGTGCAAGGTTAGCTTGCTTTATAAGTGAGTTTGATGACATGTTCATGTTAGCCTTTTAGTATTAGCTCGTTCATAGCACTCACTTAGATAACTCACTTGAGTGAGTTTTTCATAATGTTCGAAAGGTGTCTTCTAAATTAACTCACTTAGAGCACCCAAATAGCTCCCTTGAAAGAGCTCTTCATAGTATTCTAAGGGTGTTTGTTGTGTTAACTCACTCAAAGCGACCATTTGGCTCGCTTAAACAAGCATTAAGTAACTTATAATTTTTTTTCCTTTCACCCAAATGTTCAACTTATTTCACTGTCTTTTTGGCATTAAATCATCCCTCCCTGTATCTTAAAACTATCAAAATTACATAAGTATTAAAGGTGATGTGTCTTGATGAAAGGTTCAACTTGCTAACACCATATGAAAAAATTTGTTTCATCTAGCTTCGTCAAATTTGTATGCACGAATGTGATCAGTGTAGATGAAGAAGTGAAGGAGAAAATTTGGCCATCGAAAATGTTAAACTCTAATACCATATTGAAGTATGAAAAGAGATCGGAAAAGAGAATGGAAAGAAAATATTTAGCATTATTTTTAGTAAGTGTTTTTCACTACATGAGTAGTAGTCATAGTACTACTTCTGATACATGACAACTATAACAAACTAAGCAAAGCCAAAGCCAAGAGTCAATTTAATAATTGTTCACTTACAATATACTTCACATAAAAAGGGATTTTAAAGACTAAATGTTTAAGGGGAAGTAGTTCATTTGTTTACATCTTCAAAATATACCAATTAGTTAAGCCTACAAAATAATTATTAGTTAATTTCTTTAATTTTGATTTAATTTTGCATATTTTAGCTCTTAAATAAATTTTGTTTTGGATTTTTGTGTTTTGTAACTCTTCCAATAATTGTTTTAATATTTTTTTAATGATAAACAATCTAATTCAGGAGAAAGTTAAATAAATAATTTTTAAAATGTAAAAATAAAATGTATATATATTTTTTAATTATTGGTTCAATACTAATACTACCAACAAATTACAACTCAATTCTATGTCTTAGTATGTTACTATAGAATATTACCATATTATTTTATTTCCGTTTTTTTAAGGGTTTTCATTTTAGTTATTTTTATTTATTACTTAATCATTATTAAATCAAATACTTAAAACTCCAAAAGTCTTAGACTGATTTAAATTTAATAAAAAAATTATGTAGAACTCCTAGCATAGATATCATGCAAAATGTCAATTACACTAATCCCGTCTTTTTCTTATTTAATTCTTTCATGATTAATTGCATATTAAAATTCTTTTGTAACTTTTTAATTTAATATTTGTGATTTATTTATCAAATTGTTTGCTGTTAAAACATTACTATATGTTTAAAATTTAAAGTTGTTATTTTATCTCACAATTTTGTTGATCATTTCCTTGATTTAATTATAAAACATATTCATTACACCCTCAAATAAAATGTATGTAAATTTAATATTATCAATAGTTAAAAATATATATTCAAAATATAGATATTAAAACATTTAATGTTCTACAGTACTTGAAATTATAACTTACTCATACATTAAAAAAAAATAATAATAATAATACTGTTTATTCATGTTTTAAAACTTCAAATAAGGAAAACATGTTTTATAAGACTTTCCCAAAAATTTGTAAAATATCTACAATTATTGTTTCAATATGAAGATGGTAAGAAACTTATAATAACAAACTTAATTATAAGTAAAAGAAATTACATCTAAAGTTAACGTATTAAGTAATAAAATTATATGTTAAACATACTTTTTAATTAAATAATTCACTTATTTCCCGCATATTGTATGAGTCCATGTCTAATTTTTTATTTTGACAACAAAATCAAATCAAACCAATTGCAATAAGATTTAGAATACGAATACCTTTAAGTATTGCAAAAGTAATATGAGAATCAGGAAAAATAATAATGTTCCTAGTTAAGGAATAAGCCACCTCACTAGCTTGCCTTTGAATAAACTACATAATATAAGCTGTGTAAATTTTCAATAAATCTCTGATTTGTTTGAAAATCGTACCACACATTGAAATATCTTTCTCACCAAACTGTGAATCTGATCTGCTATAAGTATGCAATCTGTCTCAATAATGACATAATAGTTTAACATCAATAAGCCATAACAACGATTGAACAATAGCATAAGCTTCTCCCTCTTCCACTGACATAATGATCTATATACAACCTGGTTTTGCTAACATATAAATTAACCTGTATTGTCTCTGATACAGGCACCAAATCCTATCAATCCATGTTCCCAAAAAAATTTAAAAAAATCTGCATCTGTATTATATTTCATGAATCCATCTTCAAGCTTTATCCAATTTGCTGAATGTTGCTGCATCACATCTTGAGGCTTTGTTCAGCAACTTGATCATCGTGAAAGTTTCAACACCAATTGTTTCTTCTATGCCAAATACTCCATAAATTCATCACCAACTGTGCATCTGGATTCGCCTGAAGTGAGCCGCATAAATTGAACACAAAATCCTTGAAATTTTCCACATTATTCAGGTTCATTGTAATTCCACTGCCTACAATGTTGCCATATACGAATGCTTCTTGGACATGTAAAAAACAGTGCAAATAATTTTCTAAAGTATCGCTACACGACACATAAGTTATACCTCCTCTGTTTCACATCTCTTCCATTTTCACCCCACCAATAAAAAAAAATAAGCGATCTTTGATTCTCTAATTCTATCCATTTTATATATCTAACTTAACCTTACAGATTTGTCTTATAAAGTAAAAATTGTCCTTATTTATTTACTTTATTTATAATCAATGTGAGATTTAATTTTTTTTTAATATATTTTTTCATATCAAACATTATTAGACTTATTATTGTTGTTGTTATGTAAATAAAAGGTAAGTAAATTTTTAAAAAAAAATTAGGATAGGTAAAAATTGAGTTTTTTTTAATAATAATGAAATGCACACATATAATATACACAATTCATTTAGGCAATATTAATCCTTTGATTACTTTTTAAACTATCCATTATTCTCTTTTAAATTGCAGTCACTACTCTCTTATTGTCAGTTTATTTTTCCTCCCACTCCCATATTTTATTTAACCTCCTAATCCCCTCCTTTCACTTCCTCTTTATTTTATTTATTTTAAAAATAATAATGTATTCTCTATATATTCTTACTAAAACTAATTTCTCTCTTAAAATTTTCACTCATTTTTTTTAATTCCTCATTTTTATTATTATTTAAATAAAATATATAGAAAATGGAGTTTATTTTTTGAATAATAACAATAATAGCTAAAAATAAAAATTGTAAAGCTAATCAAGATACAAAACTGAATGACAAAACTTTTCTAAAAAAACAAGTGAATATGGATCTTGGATGGTGTGAGCGTGTTACCCGCAAAAACTTGTTTGTACAGTATGCTAATAAAAAGACTTGTTTGTTTTGTCACGTGGGGTCCTTCCTTTCCTCGTTCCGCTTCACAATGCATGTGTTATGCATCACCATCTCCAACTCTTTTACCACCTTCAACGTTCTGGAACATTATATTAGTTCACATCATTTTTCACTATCTTAGCGTTTCTTTTATTGTTTTCTTTTGTCTCCCACTTACATTACCATTTCTTACTACAAAAACACTTACCTTAATCTTTAGCTTCTTGTTGCCATATACTAATTATTTAAGAAATAACATAGGTATTGGTCCTGTTGTAAAAAGTGCAGCTGCATTGTCGTATAAATATAATTGTAAGAATGGCTAACAACGAGAACAAGGAAAGAGACTCTGAGGATTACTTGGATCAGATCAATGAGGAAGCTAACGAAGACGAACAAGACATAGAAGCTGTCCAGTACCATAGTGATAGTAGTCATGACAATGAGGGGAATCGTAAAACACGACCTCATTCTTTCTCTTCTCAGATATGGCCTCAAAGTTACAGGTACAATGCAAATCTTCTTCTCCATTTGTATGTCTTTTCATCTGACTTTAATTAATGTCCTCAATGTCATTTCTGTTGGTTAGTTCTATTGATGAAATGAAACCTTCAGATATGTTAATGATACGTCCTCTTTCTAAGATACATCAATTAAACAAAGAACATAATCTATATATATTATCTTTCATCTTGTATTTCACCTGTGTACCAAATGCTGCTGCGTAAGGTTGTTTTGGTGTGCTCATTAAGCTTTGCTCGCATTGTGTGCAACATAGATTTGTGGTTTTTCTTTATTTTTTGTCCTTAACATGAGGGCATTCACTACTCTGATTTCTGTTTTAGCTTATTATAATTGTCATTCTTATGACAGAGAAGCCACTGATTCTTACACTATTTCTGCTGCTCCAAATCTTGGATCAATTCTACGAGCACCGAGTGTTATTTATTCAAGCTTTGTGGGTGGTTCAAAGAGTTACTTAAACTTAGAACACGATCACGATGAAAAGACTTCTTTTTTATCTGGTGAGGAACTCACTCAAGGAGGGATGTCAAGAAGACAATCAACATGGTGGGAGAAAACTTCAATTCAAATGCAAATTCCTGAAGAATTACCTATTGGTTATGGATGTAGCTTCACTCAAACAATATTCAATGGTACGCCTATTATTTCATTTAGTAAGTCAATTGTGTAGTTGTGATCAATAAACATTATAAGTTTGTTCAATTGCTAGGGAGAAAAACATGTTGCTTACTATACCCTCACTCTAAAGTGTTATGCTGCTTATAAATATCCAAGTCCTATTCCTTTATTTGTATTTGTAACTGGCCAGGGATTAATGTGATGGCTGGAGTTGGACTTCTATCAACACCTTATACAATTAAACAAGCTGGATGGGCGAGTATGGGTGTGATGCTTTTTTTTGCAGTTATATGTTGTTATACAGCAGACCTTATGAGACACTGCTTTGAAAGCAGAGAAGGGATCATTAGCTACCCAGACATAGGAGAAGCTGCATTTGGAAAATATGGTCGACTTATTGTATCAGTAAGCATTTGTTTCGCTCAAATTCTTCAACATTCCTAAACATAGGTCCAACCTTGTCTTTGATCTTTCTATTTTATATCTTAAGTCCCTAGCAAAATCTACCATAGCATGATTTAAATTAGTGTTTAAATCCATGCACACATTAGTGTTTTTATTACTCAATGTTTGCTGACAATATTTTCTTTTATCTTTGTGGCAGATCATTTTGTACGTTGAATTATACGTAAGTGCTGCATTGCATTGTATTCATGCACACATTTGTTTTTATTTTAACAATCACCCTTCTTTCTCATTGTGCATCTTATGCATATGAGTTCTCTTTTCACGAATGCAGTCATATTGTGTGGAGTTTATCATCTTGGAAGGAGATAACCTCACCGAGCTGTTTCCTGGAACATCCTTGAGCTGGGGCAGTTTCCAGCTGGACTCCAAACACTTGTTTGGAATTTTGACTGCACTTATTATTCTCCCAACAGTTTGGTTGAGGGATCTTCGCATAATCTCATATCTCTCAGGTTCTCCGACTTTTAAGAATTATTTGGATAAACTTTTTCAGAAGTACTTATAGGAAAAACGAAATAAATTTTTTCATAAACTAAAATCAATTTAAACATAAACTAATTTGTAAAATTTTTCTCCTATTAACTTTTTCAAAATCTTAATTTTAACTTATGCATAAATTAATTTTAGTTTATGAAAACACTTATTTTAATCCAAACATATCATTATTTTTAATCCAAATTTAGCAAACACTTATAGCATCACTTGTGATGATTCTGCAGCTGGAGGGGTTGTTGCTACAGCATTGATTATTATGTGTGTGTTTTACATTGGGACAACAGATGCTGTTGGATTCCATCACAATGGTCCATTGGTGAATTGGAGTGGCCTTCCCTTTGCTTTTGGTATCTTTGGTTTTTGCTTCGCAGGACATTCAGTTTTTCCAAATATTTATCAGTCTATGGCTAACAAAAGAGAATTTACCAGGGCAGTGATTGCAATGTATGGTACCTAACTACTTGGCAACACAAACTTAATTTTTTCTTTCTTATAACACCTGACTCTGATTTATTTGTGTATAGTTTTATTTTATGCTTGATTATATATGGAAGCGCTGCAATCATGGGATTTCTCATGTTTGGTGAAGGGATTTTGTCTCAAATAACATTGAATCTCCCACAAAATGCATTTGCTTCCAAAATTGCCTTGTGGACAATAGTAAGATACTAAGATTTTTGGTGTCTCAATTGCTAGCTATTTTAATTTTTTGTTCTTCTTTCATGTGAACATTTACATTATTTCTAATTTTGTAACCATTTCTATTTCAGGTGATTAGCCCGTTAACCAAATATCCTTTTTTATTTGTCTTTTAAGTATTACTCATTTGTTAAATAAAGTCCAATGTTTTTCAGGAGACATTTTAATTTTTCTTTTCCTTAATTTTAAACAAATATGCTTTGTTGATGAACCCACTAGCAAGGAGTGTTGAGGAGTTGTTGCCTGATAGCATTTCAAGTACTTATTGGTGTTTCATTACTATTAGAACTGTACTGGTTATATCTACAGTTTGTGCTGCTTTTCTTATTCCATTTTTTGGTAAGTCTTACACTCTGTCTCTCTAACTGCAATACAATACATTTCTATGTCCTTACAATTAGTCAAAGGACACTGAAGAAAATTATATTGCTATAGTTTTTTTAACTATGGTATGTTCTTCTGTGTCAAATTACTTCAAAGTTGGAGCTAATTGATACTTTTGCACGGCCATGCTCCAAATATGATATTAGGTTAAATGTTTTAGATCATAAAAGAGGTGAGATTGTTATTACTCCTCTTGAATGCAATTTATGTATACATTTGTTTTATCACAATTTTAATAACAACTATTGTTACATTTTCATTTTCTAAAGTGCACACGTGAGTCCATAATAACTAGTCATTTTGAGTAAGTCGCGACTGTTGATGCATTTGTTTAAAAGATGATATTTTATGTGATGCTCTTACTGTCCTTGACAAACTTCGAAGTGCTAACTGCTAATTACATATTATATCACCCCAAAAAAAATGTGTGTAGATCAAAAGAATTGTCCAAGAAGACATGTACTAAAAGTTAATACTGGGAACACGATTTAGATGAACAGCATATCTTAACATCGTTTATTATAATTTCAGGGCTTGTGATGGCTTTAATTGGTTCTCTCCTCAGCGTACTAGTGGTAAGCATACATTTAAGTTAAAATAATGAATGCAGTTATGCAGTCAATAGCTCACAATGTTTAAGGAGCTAGTATGCACATGCCTTTTCAATATGGATTGCTCCCAATTTTTATTTTATTTTTATAAACAACTACAGTGATACACTTATAATATGTTTAGAATTGCAGAAAAAAAAATCTAAGATTAGGATAAAAGAATAGTGTATCTTCCATCATTGTGCATTATCTAATTTTACCACGTTATTATTAGCAATCATGCATAAAACATTACCCATGTCATATCACTCTCTTATCACACGTAAAGTTCCCTGCCTTATACTCCACGATTCGTGAATGCTCTGCCACACAATACCTCATTTTTAGCTAAAATCCAAGTTGACTATTGACTAATAAGTAGGAATGATTTAATTTTGAAATTTTGGGTTCAAGAAAAGATATTGTCCCTCACAAGAGCCATGTGGCCAATTTGGGTCTCTACCAGAGGTGAGGCTCTTAGTTCGCTTAATGAAATAGTTGGAGTTTGAATTCCGAATCTTGTTAATATAAGAAACTTAAGTTAAAAATGAATGTTTATCTATTTGATGTATGTTAAATTTCGAATGAAATTATATCTATTCATATAGTTGTTGAATAAAAAAACATAGTATGTAAAATTCCTTGAAAACTTCAATATAAGTGCCTCATTTTGGTAAGGAATAATCCAAATAAAATTGTGTTTTTTTATTTTTTTTATTAACAAATATTAATTGTTAGTATTACTTTAACCTTATGACCCTCCACCCAAATCATTCGGACCACTTTTTTATTTCCAAGTAAAATTTGTGTTTTCTCGGACACGATATAGTATATATGCCTTGTGTCGTAAAATATCCATATCATATGTCTTGATTATTCTCTTGATGAATATAGCTTGAGTATGCCTTTATTAAGGTCTACGTCAACTTCACATGAACAAGATTCGTCTTCTTTTTTTTTCTTTTTTTTTTTTTCTGTTGCTTGTAAGGAATTCATATGAAACTGCTACATTATGTAGGATTGCTATATTTTTCAGGCAGTGATATTACCAGCTTTATGTTTTCTGAAAATTGTGGGGAAAAATGCAACAAGCACACAGGTATCAATGCAATTGATCTTTAACTTTTTATTTATTGTTTCTTTTTTTAGAATGTATTTATCTTATGAAAATACTAAGGGTATAAATTCTATTTGATGGTGGTATAATTTGATTAGTAATTTCAGAAGTGTGTAATAATTGTGGGATTGTGGTAATATGAAGTAGTAATTAATAAGAATTAGTTATTCATGTTTCTTGTCCACTTTCCTATTTTCCTTTCTTGTCTCTCATTAAAAAATAACACGTGACTAAATTAAAGTAAGACAATATGAAAACCAGCAACGGGTGATTTGGTTGTGTGTTTGATACCCCATTTCCAAATGCATGCATGATTTCATGTTTTCCCGTGACATTCATTTGTCATATTCTTGACATCAAACTTGGAAGAGGACAACCACCATCTGACTATCTCACCTGTAATTGATTGTTTTTCTTTTTATAAATTTGTAAATACCTAGTTTGATTTCTAAAAAGTATAGTCAACTCCAGCCAGTTCTAAAGAAACAAAATATTAAACAATTTCTCAAAAATATTTTAATATTTCAATTCATTGAATGGAAAAAGTAAGTATCGTGTATTTGCTGGCTTCATCAGGTTACCATTAGCGTCGCAATTGTGGCATGCGGAGTCACTAGTGCTATGATTGGAACATATTCATCTGTATCAAAAATTGTGCAGACTACACAGAGTCAGTGAGACCTTCATTGTTCCCTCCTGAAACCCTTCATGGCTAAATTTAAGGTTCAAGTTCTTTTTTAGTGGACTGCATTCATAGAAAATTGAATTGAATCGAAGGTCAACGTTGAAATATACCATGACTACATTGTGTTGGATCTGTAAGACTAGCACCTCCATAAACGTTTGGTGTTGAATTTAGCTATTAACTCGTTACTTTTGCTTATTGTTTATTTATTATATTAATATATATACTGATTTTTCTTCTTTCATAAAGTTCAGAATGGACACTAACTTTGAATGATTAGTACACAATCACATTCAAATTCGAACCACCTGGCTGTTTAGCGATGGAATTAAAGTAAATACATGAAAATTTACATTCAATTTTCTTGTTGTCGTTGTACAATAAATAAAATTAAAAAAAAAAAAAGTTGAATACATCATTTAATCATGAATATTTTGGTAATTTGAGGTGGTTGTGACGGTAGCAAGATTTAAATTTAAGAATTTATACATATTATCTAGGTCAGTTCTTGGACTAATTTAGAGGTGTGATTACCACAAATCCATAGTCAAGAAGGGTCCAAATCTTTTTAAAAAAATAATTTAAATATATTTTTAGTTTCTTTAAAATTAGTAACTTTTAATTTTAGTTTCTGTAATTTTTTTTAAAATTTTTATTCCTCTAAAATTAAAATTATTGTTTTTAGTCTATATCATTATGTGATAACTTTTAACTACTTTTTATTTAAAAAAAAATTAAATGAACATTTTAAGTATTACTCATAACTATTAGTAATATCATATTAGTATATGTTAACTTTATAAATTCTCATATAGGATGATAATTTTTTGTTATTTTACCATGACCAAAATCAAGACTTACTCATTTTACAATGATTAAAAATATATTTAAATCTAAAACAATGTTATTTTCATATAGGATTATAATTTTTTATTATTTTTATTATTACTTTTTAATTTATTATACCATAAAAGAGTAAAATATATTTTTGATTTTTATAAAAATTTTATGTTTACCACTTTTGATCTTTAAGTTATTTATATATCATTTTATAATAAATGATAATATAGAAGTAAATCGAGTGAAAAACATAATAATATTTTTTTTAATTTATTAACATTATGTTATTTATTTAATGTAATAAAACATGACTTAATTTTTTTTATTAAATCGTGTATTTATTTTTATGTACAATATGTTATTATTTTTATTATTTTTATGTACAATAACATTACATTATGTTATTTATTTTTAACCTTTATATATAATGTTTATATTTTAAAACATTTATATATAAAAGCCTCTATCAATAAGTCATTAGTTTAGTTTAAGTAATATTAAATTCAAATTTTTTAAGCAAGATATTATTATTGAGATTATCAGTCAGGTTTCTAATGAAGATTAGTATCGATTTCAGCCAATATCTTACCGAATTTTAATAATGTGATTATCAATAAATATATATATATATATATATAAATTTTAATGCACATACTATTCGAAAGAATTTTACATGTAGTATTTAGTGTCATATATATATATATATATAAAAGTTCATATTTATTATTTCGCATAACATCCATAAAATATCATAATCGAACTTATATATTATTATTAACCTCTCACAATTAGATAATTCTAGCAATTCAAGTAATTGATTGTACGAGAATATAAAAAATATTTTATAATAATGTGGTGATATTAATTGGTTTACTAACACACTCTATTTGAGCAAATAAAATATACATAAGCATTTCTCTGACAATTGTTCTTTGATCGCCATGTACTTATAAGTTTTGGACAATATACTCTTTTAAAACAATTTTGTTAGTACAATAAGCAAGAAATAATGTATTTACCCTTTATTTTAGTTTAACTGCCTTTTGATTGTGACACTAAAATTTAAGGGTTTACACCCTTGTTCAGTTTTTTTTTTCTTTTTTAATAATCCCACTTTTAAAAACGTAAGAATAAAATTTTACCCAATAGTTTAAGTATTGGCATCAAATTTTGGTAACAATATATATTGTTTTACTATGATCCCTGGATTAGAAGGATTAATGAGATCTTAGCAACTGTACCAAATAATTGCATTCAATATTAAGGGGTCTATACTTAGTTTAACAAAATACTTAAGTATAGAAAATTCTACCACGAAGCAGTGGCAGGGGTCTATAATTAGTTGAACAAAAATACTGAAGTATGGAAAATTCTACCACGAAGCAATGGCTGAAATACCTCGTCGCTGAGGGAACACTTTTCTAAAATTTTATCGTATGAATAATAAAAATAATATATTTTAATTTATTTTCTTTACCAAATATGAAGAGTGAAATGACCGGTATAACCTTAAATATAACAAATAAAAAATTAAAGACTTAATTTATATTGAAAAAAAAACAATTTGATTTTATTAAAAATAATAATAATTTATATTGAAAAAAATAAGAAATATTTATTAAAGTTTCTTATTTTAGCATGCAAGATCGCAAGAATGTTCAAGTATTAAGAATATTCAAATAAAAAGCATTGAAATTAGGATCCATTGTATTTCACCTAAAAAATTAATTTGATTTTAATTCAATATTTCTTTTTAGCTCAATTCATTATTTCTTAATTTGTCTACCCTGTTTCGTAATTTATTTAAATTTTAATTCCTTGCATAACTAAACTTTTATCTCTAATTTAACATTTAGAATAAAATAAAAATGAATAAACATTAAGAATTGAAATCCTAACGATAGCGAGCAACTGATGGATATATTCCTACCTTAAAAGATTACTAGGTTTGCATTTCAAAGCACATTTACGTGTAGTGTTGTTAAAATGGGTCGGTGCGGCACAATTGGTTTGACATATTTTAACTCATTATTTTAAGTACGTTGGTTAGACTCATTAATTTTAATGTTCAAAAATTTTTAATTCAACTCGATCTATTATAAATGGTGGCTAAATTTTAAATGGACTAATCATTGACTCACTTAATCTTTTTAAAAAAATTAATTTAAAACAAACTATAATTTAAAATAACCTCTAATCTAAAATAAAAATTATATTATATACACAATATTAAATTTAATTAAAAATATACAACTTTAAATAATCAAAATAAAATAAAATAAAATAATATTGTTGTTCATCAACATTAAGTTTTATTAAAGGTTTAAGTAGATAAATTTATAGTAATTTTATATTATTTAATATCAATTTTATCTTTTATCTTTTTTTACAAAAAAAAATGTTACCTTGTTAAAATAATACATATATAACAATAAATAGTTAAGTGGAATATTAATGGGTCAAGTTGATAAGAGGTGTAAGTAGGTTAGGTGAACAACTTGGTCCACTACAAGTTCAACTCAGGTGGAATTGAGTTAAAAATGGACCGGGTTGAGATTTTTTGACTAATTAGGAAGGTCTTGAATTTTCTGACCCAACCCAACCCGTTTAAGGTAGCACAAGTTGACCTACAGGCTGAGTTTGTGACACCCTTCTACCTCAACATTAATACACAATAAATGTAAACAATTTTTTTCTCTTTTTAAGTAAATAAAATCTTTCGTAGTTGACAAATGTCTCAAATATCACAAGGTAGAAGATTCACATTCATAACTCATAAATCATCACTCCAATGTAGAAATTATAAAAGAAAAGAAGTTAAGATTTTCAATACAATTTAGTGAAAAATAAGAAATCATATACATATATACAAATAATAATAAAGGAAATATAAATTAACTCCAGTAAAGGTGGCAGTGCCTCCTGGTTAGGGATTAATTTATAACTTCCAAATCATGTAATAAAAATATAACAAAGATGCACATTTGGGTCTTTTATTGGATTATAAACTTTATCTACGTTATCTCTTCGTTAGAAATTACAAAAGAAGAGAAACTAAAGTTATTAAAACAATAACATATTAAACTAAGCTAGCTATGCCCCGATGTCACATCCTATCAGAGCATGCCCAACTGAAGCCTTAAGCCTCATCAACCACATCCTCATGATGCTGATTGCCTACAACATAATTTAAACACATACAAAAGCAACAAGGGAGTGAGAAACATCTCACTCAGTTTTAGGTGAAGAAATAAAGGTTAGATAGCACACTCACGCACAACAAATATAAGTCACATGTAAACAATACACATAAATAATTAAATATCACATATATACTCATTTATCACGCTTATGATGTCATGGACTCGACTCATAAATGCATGCATGTTAATATCAGAAAAAGAAATATAGCAGAAGTGTGATCTTCTCCTGTCCCAGAGCAACACTCCTAATAGAGTAACCCACAAGGTTTTCTCTATTCCCACACAAAAGCAAATGATTACAGCATACCCCCCTCTCTCTAACTCGTGCTACTAAATAACCGAAAAGATCTCATTCTCTCTCTCCTCTAACCACCCGGTCTTTGTATTCCAATGTCTATTCTACACCTCTCTTCTTCCTACGTGTATAGACCTTCCATTTGGGAGCCTTATTGTCATAATGGGCCAAGCTGTCAAGAGGCCCATGAACATCTTGGACTCTATCAATACCCCCTTCTTGAAGAACAGTCTTGTCCTCGAGACTGAGCTCAGGAAACTGACTACGAATAGCTATCTCATCTTCCCATGTAGCTTCCTCAGCTGTCTTCCCTTTCCACTGCACCAGCCATTGATTCATTTTGTCTCCTCCCTTCATTAAACTGCGAGAAGCCAGCACCAATTCTGGTTGCATTAGTTCTGCACGATCATCTTCTAATCCCATTGGGAGCCCACTCTCAGCCTTATAATTCCCAATAGCCTTCTTCAATAAGGACACATGAAATACTGGATGTATT